GGTGTGCCCATTAGCAAGGTAATCAACACAAATATTTGCCTTACAAAGAACATGAGAAATATGGACTCCTAATCGTAATTAAGGAGGTCTCTCATTGGTACTCAACTTCAAGACAAATTGGTTAATCATATCATCTCTCTAAAAGATTTGTGCAAGGATAAGTGAATCAACTTCGATAATTAGCTTCTTCATTTCTTTTTCCCCAAGTCATCTTGAGACCTTTTAAAGCTGCAATCAACTAAGCCATTATATGACGATTATGGTTAATGTTACACATAAAATCTGTCATTCAATGCCCTTGATTGTCGACAGTGAGGCCACCGATCACAACTACACCAACATTGTAAAGGGTGGAGCCATCTGTATTAAGTTTGAGCCAATCCTCTAAAGGAGCCAACAACTCACCTTAGGGCTATGGCTAACTACTTGCATGTCAAAATAATCAATACTTCTACCAGGCGCATTCTAGAACTCTAAGCAAGATTAATATTGTTTGAATTGGAGAGGACGTGATGCTCTTGTCCTCACCATACACAAAAATCATTTTTTTCCTCCATATAAGCTAATCAATGGTAAAAAAATATAGATTTTCAACTTACAATATCATTTTGATTGGCTTCTTTCTGGATGTTCAAATCAACTCACATGTCAAAGAAAAGAGAGAAAATATGTTATAGTATTTATGATTAATAAGAATAACTCATATATGGCTTCATTTTGGATTATCCTTCAAAGCATACAGGAGGCTTTCATTACATTGATGATACTAAGGGCACTAATCATCTTACGTAAGATGTCTTCTCTTCCTTCCCTTATTAATAAGGAGAAAATTAGAAATAGGTAATTAGAAAAATTATTTGACTCTCGTGAAAATTGAGAGTACTTTGATGTTCTTTCAATGGTTACTTAGCCTAGTAAGTATCCAATTATTAAGATAATTGTACACCTCTTTCATAGTCACCTTGCCATCATTAGTATAAATCCATCTCATCTCATTTGGAATTTTGTAGTTTTTTGATACATGGACTATGGGACATCTCTATACACCCGATATGCGAGAGGAAGATTCCAAAATCATCTCATTTTCAAGTAATTTGATCACAAGTGTTCTTCTCCATTATTTCCATAAAGTTTTTTTTTTGTCTGTTATTAGTTGAAAGATACGATATATGTTCCTCATTGTCCTCATCGTCCACGACTTAAGAAGATCACACCAATCTTTTGGACGATTGCTATCGTCCATTGTCATTGGATCCTTCCACTTGGGTAGAATCCAAAGAGAAGTTTTTCTT